TTTTCATGACAATTAAGGTTACCTAGAGTTAATATAATTTACGATAAATTAAGTAAATATCCTATCAATTCGCAATATAAACCATGTTTAGAAATCCGACTAAGTTTATAAAATACACTTATTATTAAGTTTCACAATACTAAAAGTCCTAAACAAATTCCCTGTCTCGCAATTTGTGAAAGTGCTCATGCATCCACAACACCAATTAATTAGCACATCCCATTCTCTCTGTAATTTTGAAACTCATCCTTCCTATTCCAAGCATGGGCGGATGCAAGGATGGCCTTGGGGGTCACTTGAAACTCATCCTTCAAAGTCATTACGGAATGTGAAAAGAAATCGAAATATTGTATTTTAATATCATTTCGAAATGCTCAGGATCTAGTTTTCTATGTCGTTAATGGCGTACGAAATGATCAATCGTAACAAATGTTACGACTTGTCAAAGTAGGCCGTTCAAAATTAGTATTTCGAAAATTTCGATAACATACTAACTTCAAAAATTCTCTGACGATCGTACGCTAGTTGAATATACAAATTACTTATGTCATCCCAAACTTATTTCGAGAACTATATTATAGGCATATCGAATGGTGAAACAGATATCAAAAATAGTTAAAGATGCGTTAAACGTGAGTCTTAAAGAAAGGCGTCTAACTCGCATTTCTTTAAAAAAAATTCAATTATTTCATTAACATTTATTATTTTTGCGATACAAATTTCTCAATATAATTTTCATCATTTTATTATGAACTTTTATATGGAATATGACATAAAAAAATTACGATATTTAATATCCGAAAAAGCCATATCCCATGTAAAATTTCGGATGTAAAATTACATGGGGTATGATTTTTATGCACGTAAATTTTCGATTGTAAANTCTAAAAATATACGTCTAACTCGCATTTTTTTAAAAAATTCAATTATTTCATTAACATTTATTATTTTTGCGATACAAATTTCTCAATGTAATTTTCATCATTTTATTAGGAAATTTTATATGGAATATGACATAAAAAAATTTCGAAATTTTACATCCGAAAAAGTCATATCGCATGTAAATTTTCGAATGCAAAATTACATGGGGTATGATTTTTTTTACGAAAATTTTCGATTGTAAAATTTCTTCCAACTTCTTTGCAAGTTTGATTGTACCCCCCTAACTTTAAACTTCTACGTCTGCCCCTGACTCCAAGCACTCAAAAATTGGGAGTTCATATATTCTACTTATATC